AAAAAAAAAAAACTCAGTTACACTGAAAATACCAAAGGAAAAATGACAGCCAAACAAGTCTTGAGATTTACAAGTACCTGTAACCCACTTAAAAGTCGCTCTAACCGTAACGAAGCAACTGGTTCTTCTGAAGATGAGAACACTTGTCCCGGGTAATACAAGACTCCATCGCCAGGAGGAAGCCCACGTCTAAACTTAATCTGGCAAATACATATACACGAACGTTAAAGGGGTATTATAATGCATAATTAAAGATTATACAAAAATACAATACAAGTATTTAATAATGTCCTGACCTCAGCACTAGGAACAGTAGCCTTCTCGTAGCAATTAGCACCCCAGTATAGAAATCCCGTCCCACCCTCTTTCCAAACACGCCACATCACAGCTCGGTGTTGTGTTCCCCTCATCCCCAAGTGCCAATTAGGATGAGGATCAGATGGTCCCATGCACACGTATGTCCACCATTCCTGTACAAAAGGCATAAAATTTCAGCACCAGATAATAATAATAAATATTAAATAACATAACCAACTTAGATATGTAACAACATCATAATCTGAATTATGTGGCTCGTAATGGTTATCAGTCCAGAGTGAACCTTTCCTAAGTTTAATTGCAAATAATACCAGTATTGTCCAGCACACGAGAGTTTATTAGAGTTTCTCAGCATATTTGAAGACAGTCACTCCCACTCTTTCCTCTTTTCTTAACTGCTATAAACAGCTTTCAATGTCTCAGATTTGAAATCTGGCGCCAGATATATACTATATCCACTTGATTTCTTACTTTGAATATATATAAGCAACATTCACATTTTCCCTAATACGCTCAAAAAATACTTCACCGGGCTGAAGAAAGATTCTATCACTATTCGCTAATTTTTTCATATATTTTTTTTTTGTTGGCAAGAGTCGAGTATCCCTGTGCTCTAAAACACCAAGCATAATGTATAGTCCCCCCTTCCACTTTGCATAAGCAAGGCAGTAAAAAACATTTCTGCAAATCAAATCCTTGCGCAAACTGACCTTGTCCAAATGGTAGAACCCAGTTGTCTGTCTGGAGAAAGCAGGGCCATTTATTAGGTTGCCCATTCTCTTTTAAAATGTTTCTAGCCCTACATCAAGTTTATTTCTCTCATGATCAAAGGAAGTTTGAAACTCAACTCTAACAATCTTTCCAATATACATTCCTTTGAATGGCATAAAAAATATATCTATTGGACAAAAGACAAAAGATGTTCTCCGAAGAAGAATGGATTTTGCGGATGGAAAATGATACGTGACACATTACCTCACCATTTTCAGGTTGTATTTCAGCAATTATGTCCTTAGCAAGATCTTCACGGTTGCCTATCACCCATTCACTGCAAGTTAAAATAATAGCAGCAACAGTTGCCACGGTCTTAAGCAGAAGAAAAATATTTGAAACTTGTCGAATGATCTCAAATCGGTTCAACAATAAAATTTGGCGAACATGCACAAGTGATGTAGGAGCAATCAATGGATGATTTGAAGATACAAAAATCAGATAAAAGCATTCAGATTAGTTAGCACCCCAAATATCCATGCACTGAAGTTACTAGAACAAAATCTTTTTGGGACTTTTCATAATAAAGTTTTTTAAACAAAATACCTTGTGCAATATATTTGAGTGTGAGGGCGAAGAAATTCTGGAACTTTGAGAAAAGCCTCAAAGTTGTTATCAGCCAGGGGCGAATCACTTGGGCCTGCATTAAGAGGACCCACCTGAGTACATCTCATCAGTGTTCTAGTAAGTAAAACACTTCCAATGAAGTAATAGAGTAAGTGACAGAGTAAGTTTTTTACTCATAAAATTGAGCAAACACAAGTGCTCAATTATGTTATGGAATTTGGATAAAGGGTAACATTGTCATGATTCAAAGGCATTATAGAATCATCTCAAGTGCCAGTTTCTTTGAGTAACCTTTAAATTGTCAAAGTAGAAGTTCAACCTCTATCTGAAGTATATAGAACTTGATAAGTTTTTAAATGAAGGTAAATAAAAGTTTTATTCTCACCACTGTAGTAAGTTGTCATAATACGGGCATCTGGTGCGTAAGCATGAATTTCACTTGCCATGTTACGAATAGCCTCATAATGTTCAAGGTTCAGAGGCTGGACAAAACAACCAATATGAAGAAACATAAATAAGTCGAAAAGAAAAGTGACATGATATACAAACACAAACAATGCTTAGTGCAAAGCATAAGAACTAATTATAAGAAGAAAGGAAAGTTTGAAGTGCGATTGGAAGCTTTCATTTGAAATATTTTAATAATTATTTTTTATAACATTAATTGATGAAACATGAAAAGTAATAACTAAAGATGATGTGAGAGGGAAATAGTAAAATGGTGATCTGTAGCTAGAAATGTGGTGCGTGGATAAATATATTTTTATACAAAAAATTAGTTATGATTCGTTTTTATTTCAAAAAATGTATTGACGAATTGAGGAGAGAGAAGATGAGATTGGTGAATAGTACATTTCTTTCTCTAGAAAATAAAAAAATCCCCTTTCACCTAATATCCAATAGCACTGTTGGCATCAACATTATTTATTAACTCGGTAATTAAAATATGAAACATATAGAACAAATGGAAATAGGTCACATTCAACGCTCAGCTTTCTTCATTACCTGATGAAGGAACATTTCAAATTGGTTTCCCCAATATTTTTTTTCCTTTAAGAACGACACTAATATAATGACTATCACCACCTCATTCTTTGAATTTCGTATCTTTTCTTTTCTTCGTCTCTAACTATTTATAGTTTATACACATCATTCAGGAATACTTTCACAGAAACATTTTATTCAAACAAAAATACATGTATATCGACACATCAACTCCAGACATCAAGTCAAATTTCTCAAGTCATTTAAGAAGTTGAAAGGTACAGTTGAGCAGATAACTTGTCATCTCCTGTTCTCACCTCATCCCACAAATAAAAGTAAGCTTTTCTCCAATGACTTTTTGTTCTTAGTATATCAACTTCTCTTTGTAGAAAGTCCTTTGTTGAGTCGCTACTAACAGGAAAACATAGAACAAAATCAATCAGATAACAAAAGATGAGATAGCATTAGCAGGACTGAAATTTCACTTTACCATGGGACCACAGGACTATATGGCACAGCATAAGCTGCGAGCCTGGGATCAGAAAAATACTCATCTGATTTTGGATGATCAGCTGCACCAACAGAAAATTTGAGTTAGAGCTTCAGAATAACAACGCTCAATGTATAAAAATGCTATTTCATATAATGAAAAAATGGACTATTACAATCGAAAAAAAAAAAAATCTTCATAGGGTAGATAATCTGTTTCTTATGTAGTTAAGCCATCCGTGTGAATGAACGCACTAGAACGTCAGCATGCAATTGTAAGATACCTGGCCACGGTGAGGTGTAAGTGAGAACCCGCATGTTTTCACGCCACCTACAGAAATATGGGCTGATTTTATACTGAAGCAGCCACTTAAAATGCTTATCCAGTGCCTCATACCAGTTGGTACTTCCATGCTCAATACCAAATCGGTCTTCAATTACTGTATCAGATATCTATTTGAATTTTAAAGAAGCCCATTCTAGTCTAGATTTCACATACATTGTAAAGATAATGCAGTACCAATTCACAGAAAGAAACAAAACGGAAGACTACCAAAAATAATAACTGCACTGAAGGATTCCCACATATAGAATCATACAAGGGACCAAAAGGATGAAAATTCGGCAAAGAGTCACACAGAGGACCTCATGAAATAGGTAGCAGAAGGGCAACCCACGCCAAAAAAAATATAGCTTTTACAGGAAGCATATGATTGATTCGAGGATACACCAATAACAGCAGGAAGAGAAGGCGTAGCAGGAAGAATAAAATCCCACACTGTTAAAGTTATCTTCACCCGGATTGAAAGGTTCGATATTGCATCCTCATCCATCATATCTACTGAGCCATTGTCAGAATTCAAGTCAGAAAACAGTGGAGACTGAAGCATTCTTCTCAAAGATGAAAACCCGGATTGCACTCTTTCCACCTGGATAAGATGAAATATGGAAACACAATAAGATCCATTAGAGAGTTCAAGAATCAACCAGCATGACACATGATCATGTCAAAGTGACCAAAAGCCCCACCACTTCATGTAATGGTTTCCCATCGATGGGCTCCACAACTTCAAGAAAACTCCTTATTTCTTGGTAAAGTTGAGTCCTATCAGCTTTACGCAGGCAATGTGCTGTAGATCTGTGGTACAACAGAATGAGAAATTCAGAAGAAAACACTTTAATTATTCAGCATACAATAATCTTTGGTAAACATCAGAAATCAAGTGACAAATAGTTCCCACAAACTTCAAAGTTAACCGAACAACAGAGATAAACCATCTCACTCTGCATCGGGTCTGGTAGCTGTAAATATGAGCTCTCCTTCATATTGCCCAGGAGCCTGTGTGGTTGGGACATCAATTGAAACCCAAATTGCCATTGTTTCTCTGAGAACATAAAATAAATAAATAATAACAACTTATGACGATGATGTTCACTTGATAAGAAACACTTGATTTAATATGGAATGCACAAGTACCCAGGGAAAAGGGTCAGTTGAGAATTGGGGACTTCAAGAGGCACAAGAGCATCAGGCACCCCCAAAATAGGCACTACTCGCCTCACCTTTAACGATTCACCAACTAACAATCTGCATAGACTCAAAAGTTGGGGGATTCAGCGTCATCATTTTCTTGTTCCACACTGCAAGAGAATCAAAATTCAAAGATTTGAAAGACTAACCTATCACCGGAAGTCGTGCACAGATCAGTACATTGCATCTGTACAGTTCCAGCTATACTTGACCCAGCCCAGGAAACTTTTGGACGAATAGCTATCTGGACACTTTCCCTCTCATTTCTCGCAGCTAACAGAGAAATCTTCAAGAAGAATAATATCAAACAGGAAGCACTACATATTTGTCGTCCAATATATTATAATTCAACAATTGTAATATCCAACACGATACGCTTAAAACTAGAGACCAAATATCCAAACTTACGGGCTCAAGTGCACGAGGCATGTCCTGTTGCCCAACATTTGCCGAGCTTGGCATGCACCAGACGTGCACTAGCTCGGACGAGTGAACTTTGAGGGGATCAATCGAACCCGTCAGTACAGATGGATCCTGAATGCCAGTTTCACTCCACCCGTAAGCGGTCCCACCTCCCGCCACACCCTCAACCGGCACCATTGCATCTGGACGACTCCCTGCACAAACCAAAACCATGTAACTCTATTCTTCAGCTATGAGTCATCATTCAATAACAAATTGAAGAAATGCAAGTCACTATAAGGAGAAGGAACACAAGGCCTAATAGCATTTGGGTAATTTTCATCATTACAATCAGAATTATAACTATTTTCTCAGCCAAAAAATCTGTATAATCAGTGCTTCATGATTATCGAGTAAAGCATCTCAATAAACAACGAATATCGTCACTTTTTCCCAATAAAACCCGAATAATTAAGCCTACTGAAAGGCTCCCAATTTGCCATTAAAAGACAATAAAGTAAAGTACCCATTAAAGTTCATGATGAGTGCGTAGGGGAAAATAAAAGGAAACTATACAGAACACGGCTAACCAGAATCCTCCATAGTCGGCGATCGCTTTCAAATCAAGATATCTTCACTGTCTGTGTCTTTGAGTCAAGCAGTTTTCAGTTTTCAGGTGAATGAAAATTGAGAATAAACTTGCTAAAATGATCAGGAATTGATTGCTTTTTATACTTGGTTAGATGAAGAGAGAAATGAATCATGAATAGTGCGTGAAAGTTAAGAGTGGATAACTTGCATAAAGTTGCTATTGACACTCCAATTGTCACTACTGCCACTCCTAAGGGTAGATATTTGTTGAATTGGGAAATTTCGATGCTGCACATATGTCCAGTGCCCACATGGGCTTTTGTACCATTGATTTTCACACACATCCATGTGGATGTGTGTATGTGTGTGTAAATCAAGGGTGGTGGGGGCATGACTGCACTGCCCCCACCACCAGCATCGAATCTTCCGGGAAATTGGGAAATTGATCCAATGACTTTTTTATTATTCCGGCTTTTTTTTAGTACCTAGTGTATAGGCTGTAAACGAGCCGAGCCGAGTCGAACATTGGTCTTAGTAGGATTGAATTTCTTTTTGGCTGCTCGAGCTCGATTGTTTAGGCGACTCGATAAAAAATTACAATAACTCGAGCCCAAATCAAAATGCTCGAGCTCGGCGAGTTCGACTCGAAATTTTTTAAGTGAAAAAATAAAATTACTATTAAGCACCTATACTAATATATAAGGGGTATTTCAGAAACTTCACATATATCTCGAGCCGCTCGACAGTGCAAAATATGAGCTCGCCGCTCGAGCTCGATTTGAGTTCAGTCAAATTCGAGTCGAACTTTGACTCGAGCGCTCGCGAGCGGCTTGATTCGTTTGTAGTCCTAGAGCCGATGTACTGGTAGTAAATTTTTAATTAGTTTTATAATCTAGATTAATACGAATATAAATCTAAAGACATGACCTCAAAATAATAATTAATGAAATTAAAAAAAAAAAATGAGGTGACTCATAAATAAGTTATGAAAATAATAATTAATTAAAATTAAATATTATGTGATAAATAAGTTAAAAATTATTATACTTAAAAAAAAAATAACGGACAGTTTGCATAACTAAATAAAAAAAGAGCTGGAAAATTTTATTAATTTTTTTCCCTTTTTACATAAGAGCAATTGGAAAAAATAAATATAAAGTAAATTTGCCTCATTACTTCGACAAATAAAATAAGTTAGTCAGTGATAGAGTGACAAAATAATGTGAGATCATATCATAGAATGTACGCTACAATTACGAAATTGAGAGAGAATAAGTAAAAAAGATTATAAATTTGGTGCAATTACATAAATAAGAAAAATAATAATAATTTTAGTGTTTTTGTAACTTGAAAATGATGAGAAGATAAGTACTTTTATTAATAATGTTGCTCCTCAAGTAAGATGAACTTTTTAAAAAAAATAGGGAAAAAGCTTTTTCCCATCAGAACTTTCGCGAAAATGGCGCATCACCATATGAACTTTATTTTTTTGCAAACCACCTTCTAAACTACACGGGTTTGTCAAAATACCCCCCACACCACCTTTAAGTCCGGTTTCACCTGTTAGGATCCGGTTTTGAACACAATATAAATAGCCCACCTCCGGTTGACGGTTGTCCTACCTTTTCTCCCAATTTCATTTCTCTCCAACATCAGCGAACGATTCTTGTCAATTAGGGTTTGAGCGAACGAAAATTGAAATCAGGGTTTTCTTCTTTGCCTCATAATCGAAAATCATTTCACTACCTTTTGAATCGACATACGAAATCGAGCACACTGTGAGTACGAATTTTAGGTTTAGCTCAACAATGAGTTGGAAGCTGCGGCCAAAATCGCCTCAGTCGGCAAGAACAAACTGTAAGTGTTTACCTCTCCAATCTGATACCTTTTTTTCGTAACATATGAAAAATCATGCTTAGTTTCTTGTTCGATTTCTGAGGTGTTTTATCATGCTTAGTTTTTTGTTTGTTTTCTGAGGTGTTTTTTTATTTTATTTTATATGTGATAATGCTGAAGCTTTTACGATTGCATTCAATCATTCTGGTAAATTTGTAAGTGTGGGTCGAAATGTGTATTGTGGTGGTTCTATTGATTTCATTGACAATTGTGATAAAGATTTGATGTCAATGGTTGAGATATTGTCTATGGTTAAAGAAATTGGCTTGGATAATGTTGGTAAAATATTCTGTAGCAAAAGAGGAATGGTTGATTGTTCTGATTTGTCACTACTTGAGAATGATTTGGATGCTATGAATTTGGTGCAATGGTTGGATTCTGATAGAGTTGTCAGTTTGTTTGTTGAACATGAGCCCCTCATTTGTAGTGGTAATCAGTCTGAGTTTCCAAATGTAGTTGAACCATTGCCATTTGTTGGGAACTTAGAAAGTTCTGAGGGGAGAATCAGTGAAGAAAATGCATTTGTAGGTAGTAATGAGAATGAGTCTGGTGGTTTAAGTAGAACATACCTACAAGATGTTATTGATGATAGGGAAACAGATGAAAGTGATAGTGATGTATCAGATGATCATTCAGGTGAAACTGTTAGTGACTCATAAATTTCTGATTATGTAGGTGAAAGTGATTATGATGTATCAGATGATGATGTTCTGTTTGATAGTAATATAGATGTTGAAGTTGAGTTGGGTGGTATGAACTTGAGAGAGAAGAAAGGGTCAGAAGTCCATGGTAAGTTTTCTGTGGGTGAGGGGAAGAAAAAAAACTCAGATGCATGATGGTTATCTAGTTTTTAACCCCAAGTTAGATGGAGAAGACCCTAAATTTGAGGTAGGCATGAACTTTAGTGATACACCTACATTTAGAGAAGCTGTGAGACAACATTCTAGGAAATAAGGTAGGGATATTGTTTTCACTATTAATGAGAAAACTAAGGTTCAAGCCAAGTGCAAACAACCAAATTGTCCCTGGGTGATTTATGCATCTAAGAAGCAGGATGAGGACACAATGGTTGTAAAAACTTTCAATGGGAAACACAAGTGTAACAGGAAACAAAAAGTTTCTTAACCAGGTGAGAAAGATGCCACAATCTCAAGGTCAAACATCCAATTCTGCTCCTGAGGTTGACAAACCCATATGGAGACCACCTGGGAGGTCACTCACAGATGCTAGAAGCTTTTCAAGAATGTTTGGTGGAGGATTCATGATAAGTGGAGGAGGGATTGTACACAGGCCATACCCATCAATTGTTAGAAGTGAAGGAACTGAAAGAAGAAGTGAAGGAACTGTCACAAGAAGTGCAGGAATTGTCAGAAGTGAAGAAGAAACCTCAGTTTGTAGACAACAGTAGACTTGGTTGTTGGATTGGTGTTCTTAATTTGTGGCTCTGAAGTAGATAGATCATGCTTTGTAGGTTTGGTGTTTGTAAGCATGATTTGTTTTGTGTTGTTGGTTTGAACATGTTTTGTTGACTTGGTTGTTGTGAACATGTTTTGCTAGGATACTATGGTTGTTTTTGGGATGTTGGGGATGTTGATCAAAACAATGTATGCTTTTTGGTTGGAAATTGAAGTGTTAGTATATTTTGGTTAGAAATTTAAGTGTTAGTTTATTTTGGTTGTTTATTAATCCCTAACAATGTGCAGAAAATAATAAAAAATGTGCAGATACACCATGACATCAAAAACATCCATTGCATTAATAAACACCATGACATTACACAAAATGACCAACTACAACACCCATTACACTTCAACTACATCTATTTCATCTTGTTTCAGTCAAGCACACTCATTACACTCAAGCACATCCATTACACTTCAACCATTACACTTCAACTACATCTATTGCATCTTGTTTCAGTCAAGCACACCCATTACACTCAAGCACATCCATTACCCTTCAAGAAGCATAGAACAATCAAACCAACAATTGCCAACAACATGAGCCTTTCCCATTTTTTCCTTCTTGCAATTTCTTCTTCCAATTTTTTGGCCCGTTTCAGAAGCCCAGGAATGAGTTGTTGTGCTCTATAACACATTCGAGGGTAAACCCAAACATGGTATGTACACCCACCCAACATCTGCAATTCGAAAAAAGGAAAACAAAATTAAAAAAAAAATCTAGCGATTTCACAAACATAAATGTCGAAAAAATATGGGAAATTAAACTAGCAATTGAATTAAACTAGAAAATTGAAATCAAGAGAAGAAATTGAGTGCATTCACCCGGTATTTCTCACAGGCCGAGTACCTACGCCCCGCATTACCATCGGCCCATGACGTCTTTCGCACAGTAGGCTTCCCACACCGGCAGAAGTCATCGATTAGCTCCTCGGAAATTTGCCGGAACATTAAATTGTTCGGAGATGATAAACCCTAGATGAAAGAGGGGAAAATTGGACGATTTTGGGGAAAATTGCTCCAGCAAATGACCGGCATTGGGCTATTTATATTGTGTTCAAAACCAGATTCTAACAGGTGAAACCGGACTTAAAGGTGGTGTGGGGGGTATTTTGACAAACCCGTGTAGTTTAGAGGGTGGTTTGCAAAAAAATAAAGTTCATATGGTGATGCGCCATTTTCGCGAAAGTTCAGATGAGAAAAAGTTTATTTCCCAAAAAAATAAAGCTTAACTCATAAAATTTCTTATGTAACTTTTCAGATAGTCTGTTGAAAATTTTGTTCCAACTGACTTATCAACTATTTTTACCGAACACTTTTAGGCGATGATTGGTAAAGTTAATTGATAGCTTATAAGTTAATTTCAAACTTATAATTCATATCTTATAGGTGGTGGCTGAAAAAGATGAAAGATGATAGTTGATATGATAAATAATGTTTGGTAAAATTGACTAACAAATAAGTAAGTTGAAACAAAAATTTCAACGAACTTATTTGAAAATCTACACACAGAAGCTTATGAAATAAACTTGAAAGTTTTTAAAAAATTTCGTTATATCAAACAAGCTTATTTGCATAGAGAAAGATTATAAGATAACCAAGTAAGTTATGTTAACTTATTGTGCTTATCAAACACACTCTTATTATACCAACTATCTTTCCATCCATTAATTATAAGCTCAAAATTAACTTATATTTATTCAGTTAACTTGCCAACTATCAACTAGTTTTTCATTTAAATTTATCTAACATATTTTTAAGCAACCATTGACAAAAAATATCGGTGTTATTAGACTAGAAACAACCTAGCGAGTGAACTCCGCGAGCTAATAGACGATGGCATACCATTATGTTAGTGGAAAATTTCAAAGAATTCTTTAGAGCGTTTATCATTTTCGAAATACAATTAAATCTCACACATTGCATTACATACCAACGAATCTATACTTTTTACATGTTTCTTTCTAGGTATAATTTTTAAACAAGAAACTAGTGGGTTATTTACCGGTCAGTTTGGTTGATCCAGCTAACCGAAATGTCCAAATCGAAATAACCGAGTCGAACTTTTGAGAAAACTGAACCAACAGACTTTTGTTCGAAATCAAGTCAAACAAGGACTGAAATAATCGATTTTACTCAATATGTTAACTGAATAAATATTTAAATATGTATATAAAAAAATATTTATTCCACAGCGTTGACATTTGGCTCGCCATGCGGCTACGTACTCGATCGGGGTTCACACATTACCCTCTCCACCTCCCGGCTTGGACATTTGGCTCGAGCATGATAGTATGGGAGTGTCGCTCCCCCGACAAGTCGAACACTAGGCCTGTACAAAAAAATAATAATAATAAAATAAAGCCGAAATAACTGTAATCAAAATTAAAAAACAAAACCGCCATATAAAAACTCGAACTATTTTTTTTTTTTTTTTGATTCTTTTGGATCGTTTTCTTTGGGTTGTGGTCGAAGAGAGAATACAATATGTGGTTTTTCCGTTCATCGGCAGCATAATCACGGTAAGCCCTGAAAACCCTTTGCATCGACCTCAAATTTGTTCGTTTACGCCGGCGAACTTAGCTCCTCTACTATCAGAACGCCCAATTTTGCCCTATTCATTTAATCCTGATTAATTTCGCAGTTGGTGTTATCTTTTGTGTTAACATTGGTTTATCTGCAAGAATCAATTGATTAAATGTCAGTTGATTTTGTTATTTTTTTTTTTTTTTTTGTGTTATCTTGCTAAATTTCAAAACCCATGTTATTGACATCTGAACTACCGGACTGTGTAATCAGAGGTAAGGGAGATAAATATCTTGTTTATACGGTTAAAATACCTAATTTTTGATGTAATTACTAGCATCACATTTATATGCTCACATAAGGGGTGTTCGGAGGATAATCGTTTCATAATCCTTGTGTTGGAAGGAGTATTTGGTTGGTGCTTGTGGCTCTTACACACCACTTGAAGTATACTTCTACTCGTATGTAAAATAGAGTTTCATCAACTTCAGTACAGTGGCCGTGTGATCAGCTATCAAGTAGGGATATTCTTTTATGCTTGGGATGAATATTCACTGTTAGTTCTCTGATTAGCATCGTCGACATTTTGAATGCATTACTTGAGGCAAAGTTAGAAGGAATAAGAAATTAGACATTTAGATGTCCAAACTTGGTGCTAGCTGGTGCCTGGTTGTGTTTACCGGATTTAAAAAAAAAAAAACGTTACTTAAAGTGAGACTTGATAAGAGTACAGGGTAAATTATTCTTTCAGAAAATGTCCGCTGAAATTCAACTGTTCCATATCTGTATGCGACTCCAAATCATTAATCCTTTGATTCTTGTTTTGACTGTCCTCTATTGTTTTCTTTGATCATTCCACGACAATCATACTTTATGTCTGGACTTATGAAGCCTTTTATGGTTGTTTACCTGAGTTTTGAGCAGTTATTTCACTTAACATCGAATTTATGATCAATATATATTATATAGTGATTATTATTTGTTATCTACCTTCTTTAGGATTTGAAGTTTGTTGTGTCCACAACAGGGTTTTATATATTTACCCTCGTTGCCACTTGCCTCTTTTCGGATCATAAATGCTTAACAATACTACCCGACAGTTATTTGAGTGTTGTAGCTGTTTGAGATAATTAAAGTACAAGCGCAAAGCTCATTCTTTGTTGGTCATTTGTTCATGTATTGTTCTTCTAGGGAGGGAAGATTTTTTCTGTCATTACTACATAGTTGGCTTTTGATCAATCTCTATGTGGTTCTTGCTACTGTTGATTTTATAACTCTCACCCTAACATGATTTGGTTGATGGATATCTTTTATAACTCCTTTTTTTTCTTCATTGGGCTTGAAGATACGAACAATTGAGAAAATTGATTGTGTTGCAGTGTTTGGTTCCGATACGTGTTTAAGGCATTGAGTGATAATGGAAGAATCTGAGAAAAGGAAAGAAAGGCTAAAGGCAATGCGGATGGAAGCTTCCCAGACGGGAGCTTATGCCGACTCCAAGACTCCAGGGTCGGCATATGGAGCCCTTTTGAACCCTTTGATTGAAAATGAAACAGCCAGTGCCTCTCCGCATCAGCAGAATTTGCCTAGGTTCGGTTATTACACGGACCCCATGGCAGCATTCTCCGGAAGTAAAAGGAGCAACGACATGTCTCCTCAAGTTTCTCATGGACATCACAACACACCCCCAAGTAATTTTTCTTATGTTTCACTCCCGGTTTTTCGTATTGTTTACATTCCTGCCTTTTCTTCTGTCTTTCAGTTACATTTCCTTCATTTTAAATTTACTCTTCATGCACCTTTGGTAGCAGAAGAGTGTGGGCAGATTCAATATATTCAGGTCCCAACAAAAATTAAGGAAAAAAAAAAGAAAAAGAAAAGCTTTGTCCTTGTTTAAAAAAATATTAGCGTTTTTTTCTATCTATAATGACTGAACTGTACAAGATACAATTTTTGCAGTTCCTATATTGAATTATTATTTTAAAACTGTTAATTGCTTTCAATTACGTTCAACAGGGGCGTTCTACCAAGGCTCGATCTCAAACCCAGAGTACAATTATCATCCACCGGTGACCTTTCCAGGTCCTGGGGCACTCAACCCTTACCCACCCAGAGCCCAATTCAATCATGGGCCCCCCTTGTGCCCAACTAGCCCCTTAAGCAGACCCCAGCAATATCCCCCACCACCTTGGGCCCGGCCAGGTGGACCCACCGATAACAACCAGAACTTTCACCCTTGGCCCAATTTTCCAAGAGGCGGTAATTTTACCAGTCCAAGCCCTAGACCAACGAATTCCAACCACTATAACACGGGACGCGGTAGAGGGTTGGGCCCGGATTCTGGACCGAGTTATTCCAGGCGAGGAGCGGGCCCGCGTGATCCCATCTCTGCTGATCAACGGCCGGATTTGTATTACAGAAAGGAAATGGTTGAGGATCCTTGGCGGTTTTTGAGTCCTGTTGTTTGGAAGGGCGGTGAAGTATACGCTCGTGATTCGGATCAGTCGTGGCTCCCAAAATCAATCTCCATGAAGAAATCAAAAGCTTCTTCAACGGGCCCACAGGGGTCGATCTCTCAGCAGAGCCTGGCCGAGTATCTGGCAGAGACCTTCAACGACTCCACCGATTGAGGTTTTTGTTGAAATGGGGAGAAACTAGAGAGAGGTGTAATTAATGGAAATATTTTTCTCAGTTGCAGATGGATAGATAACACTCTGGCTTCAGTGTTTTCATTGTTTGCTGTGTTTGAATTTCACAAAGTATGCATTTTTTATTTAGGAAAACATATAATGGATTGATCCATCTATGATAATGATATATCCATTAGGCTGAGAATTGATATATCCATTAGTCTACTTCAACATGGATTAATTAAGGCGTAATTGCCCTTAATATCATGGCCTTTTCGAAATGGCAATTTAATCACGACTTTTTCACCTTTTCAAATCATATAACAATTTTCAGTTTGTTGCAAATTGGTGAACCGGTTTGCATATCCCAGGTAAACTACATCACAATCTTCAGTTTGTTGTTCGACCACATCAAGTTTTCAACGACGGTTTTCAGACTGTTCGCAACAAACTAAAGATTGTGATACAACAACAACAACATACTCAGTATATTCGCAATTGGTTGGAGTCCGGGGGTAAGTTGTACGCAGACCTTATCCTTGTAATTATACAAAGAAGTTGTTTCCGTAGCGATCCAAGGTGCATTGCGTCGTTTGATATATTTTTTTTTCTAGAAACTTCACTAATAGAAGAAGCACTAGAATTTAATCGAGTCATTTTGATCTAGTCCATTATTAGCACTATGCCAGGAGAATTGTCAACAATGACTCTTCCAGCTCCATTTGCAATGAAGAACAAGCTAAAGTGAAAAGGTCATGATTAAATTGCAACTTCAAGTCTAAAATCGTGATATTAGGAGCAAATATGTCATTAATCTATATATATATATATATAATTGCTGGCTCATGAGCATTTAATAAAACCTATTAAATTATACCTATGTGGCAATATTATTTTTTCCCTCCAAAAACCGTTACTTTTTATTTATTTAACCTCTCATTTAATTATTAGATAATCAACACACTAATCACTTCAAAATTACAAAAATCATTTTAAACTCTTGATTTACTTACAGATGACCATATAATTTGTTGACTATTTAATGTGATTAGATGTCATTGTTGTGGTTACATTTAAATTAACTTCTTTTGAAAAATATAAAAAGTATTTGAAATTCATAAATAAATATTAAATAATTCACAAAAAAAATACATACCAAAATATACATTACATCCAATATAAAAAACGCAAAGTTTGCCCTGCAAAAAAGTGCAAAAAAAATCATTAATCATTATATGCATACAAAAAACTCACAATACTTTATTTATATCTGTGCACAGGTCGAATACTAGTTAATGGTAAAGTTGAGAATTGAATCTCACTTTTTGCAAATTCAAGTAAAAGGTGGCAACCACAAGAGCAAAGCCAACTTACATCATCATCACCTGTTAATGGGGAGTGTGAAATTGAAAATTTATTGGCAGATACAATAAGCAGCTTAAAAAAATACACAGCTCGGGCCAATCTAGTGTAACATAATGTGATGTAAATATATTATTATCATAATAGATTAAAACAGTCTGTAGTCTGTACAAACTTTATATACAGAATTGAGATGCTCTACTAGGCATCTCTCATCTCACCTAATTCTACTCGTTTGAAGCCCAAGTACTTTGGGTGTGTATGCGTATATACACACACACATACATATATATACACACACTTTTCAGCTGCCTCTCAAATGGAGAAGGGAAGTTTCAGGGCTGGGTCGGGTTCGGGCTTTTGCTAGGCGAGGAGCACCTAGGTGATCCCTTCACGCTCTGCAACAGCACGTCCTGATTAATGGACGCCAGCTGTGATAAATTCTGCAAACAACACAACTCTTATCAGTTTGAAAATATGTTCAATGCATCCGAGTAGATAAGTGTCGTGTAATATTTTATCATTTCGAAAAAGAAAAGGATAAAGAACGAGCAAAACACGTGAAACTCTAAACGTATTTGTATAGGAAAACCAGACCAAACTCAAGAATGGAATAGAAGATTTGTACTGGCTAAGGTCAGAAAGTTTATAGAAAATTCAAACGCTAAACGAATAATTAGTTCTAATCAGTAATCTATAACTACTGAACTAGAGAAATTATCGTACCTTGAAAGAGAAATTCATCAATGACAGATCGAGCGGTGAAGAATCGAACCGGGCAAGATCACCGCATTCATCCATCTTGATACAAAAGAAACAACAATAATCCATCATATGGTAATAATTACAATTGGAAAGCATATAGCAGTCTGCTTTCAAAAAAAATGGGGGGAATCTTTCTCAATCTTTAGTGCTCATCTCGACAGTAGTAATTTGCCGCCCTAGGCATCATCCCATGTTTCGACTAAGCATTACATTTTTTCATATTCAATGGAAAAATGAATTGAGAGAACTATCTGAGAATCTACTTCCAAAATATAGGGTCATCTTTGGTACCAATTCAGACTCGAGACTGAGAAGCAAACTCGTGAGTATGAGTATGTACCTCTCCACCAGTATGTGTTTGCAATTCCAAGATGTCAAAATCTGAATCCCTAAAACTTTGATCAACTTCCATTCCATTTGAACTATATCGTGATACAAAGTAACTAGTATCATCCATACGCTCTGGTTGTGGTACAAATACAGCCTGTAGAAACATCAAACGCCAAAGCAACAGTTAATAATAATAACCACAACTTCTTTAACACAGAAATGAGCCTCGTACAGCCAGCTAAAGATATAAACAATTAAAGAAAATTGCTAAATACATAAGATGCTCCCGTGTCATTTTAGCAAGAGAACTTAATGAATTAGGCAAGCCGCCTCAAAACTAATTATCTTAAATACCATGAATAGAAGTGACATTTATCATTAAGGGTGTCTGCATCTCTCTTTCAAGCTTCCGATTTGGTATCAAATCTACATAAAGAGTACCTCCAAGCGTACATCTCATTGATAACCAAATAAAATAAGGGATTAACAAGCTTGGCCTAAATATGAGGACAGCTGGCAAGTGATGGGTTACGGTAGGACTAAGAACATAAGCACCTTGTGTTGTATACCTCGCATCCTCAGCTTTCATATGAATATATGATACTCTTATTCAGTTCTATGCTAATGAAAAGCAATAGAAATAATTTGATACAAGTAATAATAAAAACTACCCACCTCTTGTAAGGTAAGATTATCCCAGTCCACTCCTGAGAAAAAAGAATGTGCTTTTACCTGATGGAAAACAGAACGAGAGCAAAGACAGTTCAAAGTTCATGTGGACAGCTTTCAAATCATATCAAGTGTAGTTAAGTTGAGATATGCGACCTCAGATGCTCCTTTTGCTCCAAGCCGTTCATCTGGATTGTGAACAAGAAGCCTGTGTGAATTCAAGAACAAAAGATTGTCATTAGCTGGTGCACACCGAAATGAACAAGGAAAGACAAAAATTTACCTGTTCCTGCAAGAGTTTAATCATAGCCATGATATTCATGTTGGGAAAATCATAAAGTGATGAAGAGATAAATTTATACAGATTCATTTAAGATATAAAGGAGACGATTAACTAGAACAGAAATCCAGTGATTGTAAATCCATTTCTGGGCAAAGAGGTACTATGTAGATTTTCATGATATAAGTACTAAATAACCAACATTCATTGCCTTACAATCTATGCTACCTTTTCCAGTTGATTCATCTTCAAATTATTAACCAACCTGTCAATCAGATCTTGAGCCTGGCAAGACATCTCATCAGGAACCGACGGCCAGGGGATTTTTCTGTTTAGAATATTGTCAAAGATATTCTGCCAAATCAATAAAATGAAAATGTCAAATGGCTTTAAATTTTGGTTATCTGATGATAAAAAAATAGCCAGAACAATAAGTAGCAAAACAATATCCAAGCCCCGAACTATAGACATTATAGAGCATATTTACATGCTACTTCAGGGTTCCAAGACAAACCCTAGACTTAAAACTTCTGACCCTATGGTGTTTGTTCCATTCAGTGCCCCAGACAGAACAGTACAGAAATTTTCACGGTAGCAGTCATTACTCATTTAAGCAAATCTTCCTACCAAATGAAACAAACAATAGCAGCAAAACAAGATAGCAAATGAAGGATCTTGAGTAATTACCTCCGGGTGATCAGCATTGAAAGGAGGGATTCCAGTTATAAGTTCAAACAAGATTATTCCAACTGACCACCAATCTGCAGCATAACCTACAGGTGTATCAAGAAGATGATGTAAGCAATTCAAACACCTTGGTTTTCGAATTTTAGTAATCGACAGGGGACACAAAGGAGAACAGTGGCAACCATGAAACAACAATTTTTTTAGCTCCTAACCATGTTCTTTTCCAAGAAGAATTTCAGGTGCCAAATAGTCTGGGGTACCAGCAGCTGACTGGTCACCATCCATTTTATCTGCGCTGAGCTGACCATTTATATCTAGATTGATGCTGTTATCTGTCTCTCGCGAGGATAGCTCAGTAGTGCAATTCATCAGGCCAATTTTGGACAATCCAAAGTCAGTAAGCTGATAAAATTGTGTAAGGTTCAGTGGTTACTAATCATCATGAATATATCTTCCTACAGAGAACAAATACATAGAGTGACTTATCTATCGTTCCAAGTTTGTATCCGTACTATTGCAATTCTCACTAGTTTCTTTTCATCGGTGAAAATGTTAGTAAGCTAAAAACTTACTTCTCTCATTGTCTCCACATTTCATAGCTAATGAAGTGTATGCATATATCAGGTCATTGCTTAAAGATTAGGAAACTACCTCACAACCTTCGCTTCTATGTTTCTTAAGTAAATTGAAGCAGAAATTGATACCATTTGACAATAACAACTGTTGATATTAGCATTCTCGGTTCCCCAGGTAAAGGACACAGAAAAAACTCTTTATTTTTTCTACCAAACTTCCTATAGAAGCCATAACGTGTTCAAATTATTTAACATCCCCAATACACTATATTTCCTGTGAAGCAAGATACAAATTTCTCATATTCTTAACATAATTTTCTCTAGAGACTCGAGCACCAATAAATCTCCTAACCAGCAAAGAAGAGTGTATCTAGAAATACCTTGATATGTCCATCATAGGCAATTAATATGTTGTCTGGTTTCAGATCACGATGTACTATTCCAAGAGAATGAAGGTATTCTAGTGCAAGTACCTAAAAGAAATTCCAAAGCATCGTTTTTATAGCGTTCTTACAAACTTCGGACAGATATAAAGAGCTTATATATAGAAAAATGTCATTGTTTACCAGTTCAGCAATGTAGGTACGAGCAACAGCATCTTCAAGGCAACCAACCTTTTTTAGCAGAGAATATAAATCTCCACCATTGAGATATTCCATGACCAAATACAGGTTATCTGTACTGGTAAATGAGTAAAAAAACCGAACCTACACAAAAACAAATACTGCTGAGCCATACAACATCCTATATCAAAATCTTCACATCTTGTATAGCATGGAAGTCAGAATAGCTCGAGTTAGTTTCTCTTTTTCTTTACTGATTTGTTAGTACTTCTCTGTTAAAATTGATACGAAACAGAACTCCGAACAGCCTCAAGTAATATATCTCCTTGTTGCATATTGACATGACAAACATTTACAACTTCCCAATATAATACAAATTTAGGTACTTTATTGACATGATAATCATGACTAACATTTAGGTACATTATATCAGTAACACAAATTTAGCCCTAATAATTACCACAAAAGGGTTCCGCACTGTGATTAATATGTTACGCTCGGCCAATATGCGATCAATATCATTCTTCCGTAACATATCCAATTTCTTGAGCACCTGCAATAGCAACAGATACATTATCTTCTAATGAATCAGTGCCGGTCTATCACTAAAGCCAAAAATTGAACACTTGCTACAAAAATCGTAAGACAATCTTTCGATAAGAGCAGTATCAGGATGGTTACCATATACATTCAAAAGTTTTCAACCCCTCACGTAAGTTAGAAATATGATTTTCGTCATAAGTGCAAAGTAATTTTAGAAAGGAACCATATTGCCATGCAGAATTTTGAATTATGTTGCCTGCTTCTTCAGAAAAGGAAACTCGCGACTGCCAACTTCTGCAAATTTTGTGGACAGAGCAAGAGATCTATGGCTAGTAAACTAAATCCTAAAAAAATTCAAGCACTTTAACTTTAACCTAACATGCATACGCAAAATAGCTGACTTATTTGTTTCTGGCAGTTTCAATTATTTTGTAATTTTTGAGATGTATGGCATAACTGCATAGGCAATATGAATTGCTCATGCATCATATGTATTCATCACACTTACAGAGACCTTTCAACTCTCCTACAATTTGTTTCTCATGATGAACCAGGGTCAGGCATATAACAATGTACTTTAAGCTACCCTATATTCCTTTATGTGGAGATCAATATCAGTACTTAGAGTACAATTAGAGGAGCTTAAAAATTTTAAAATACCTTAATAGCAAACAGATCCCCTGTAATCCGCTTCCTAGCCAGAAAGACTTTGCCATATGCTCCTCTGCTGATAGGTTTTATAATGTCGAAGTCATCAATGCTTGTACGTTCTTTATGGGCAGGATGTGAAGGTGTTGACGTTGTACTACTCTGAGATGCACTATCCACTAAAGATCTTGCGCTATCTGGATGCCCAGCATCATCTCTAACCACTTGATTGCAAGCAAGTATATATTTCTCCCTGCATATCAATTTTAGAAAGTTAAATACTTCACTAAAAGGCAAAACATTCATATACACAGTGCCACATTTCTTGTCCTTTTAATCTATTACCTCAGAAGGTTTTCTATTCGTCCACCAAAAGTATCCACTAAAAGAGCACTGTACTTGCTATGTTGTAAAACCTCTTTCAGGTCGTGCATACAGGCAAGTAAAAACTCACTGGACCCTTCTTCCGTAAAATCGGTCCCTGCCACGCATCGAGCAATATCAGCAAGGTCATGCATCTGCAAACATGATTCAGAGTTTAAGCATAACAAATTAAGTCGAATAAAATTAAATAAAATGGTGGAAATGCAGAAACGAAACTCGGAACGTACAGCATGCTGTAACGTATAAAAGAAAAGAAGGTTCATCATAAGATTATTATTTTACCTTACCACAAAAGCCAATGACTGGCCCTTAAAGTAGGAAAACGATTGGAGCCCAATACCTGAAATTCCATTACCTATATGGAGTTTTCTGGGAAGAGGTTCCAGTATATTAGAATTTGTTATCCAGTTTTATTACATTTCACAAAGAGTGCCTCAAAGCCCAAAGGTCATGAAGATAGAATGAACTGTTACATTGTGTACCCATGGTGACCCTAAGTTGTCAAAAACTTCATCACTTACAAAGTTCAGTCTACTCCCACAGTATGCTACCATGGCAGGAATCCTACATTAACGTAAATGATGCTAAATATGGTTCAATCACTAGGTCATAAGGTTAAGTCTCAACATATGAGGTTCACGTTCAAATCAATATCTCTCTTTTAATCCCAACTTATACATCATCTTCCATGTCAAGCATATTATTCATGGTATTGCTTATTGTTCAATTGAAAATTCGACAATTGATCTTATTTATGTGAAATTGTATCATAAAATACCCTGGTTGTTTCAACCATAACCACTAATGTAACATCTATTTATGCCCCTTACTATTCAAAAATAATAGCACCAAAAGGGCGAGGAAGACAGACCTGTTGCATATCTTCTTGTTCCGAAAAATTACTTTGGTCTAACCAAAAGATGTCGATATTTCCCCGAGGGCTATTTGCGGATGATGTTGATGTCATGCTCCAATTAGAAGATGGTGAGCCGTAATGATTTACCTTGTTTAGCAAGTGGCTTTTCAAGCTAACCAAGTTTGCCAGATGAGAATCATCAATGCAGGCAGTGTCCATCTCATGGAGATCCTCCAACATTCCATCCATTCCCTTACTTTGCCACTCACTGCACTTTGGTGAATGAGTTTCTGCTGTCATAGCAGAATTACTGAACCGCATTCTCAAAATCTCAGGGTTCATGTAGGTTTCACGATTCCTTGAATTGCGCAACTCTAACAAGCGTTCCAATAACTCCGCAAGCTTCAACAGGCACTCATTCACATCCAGATGGTTGGAAACCCATTTGTCTGCAAATGCACATATATAAGAATGTGGCTCCAAGTGAACAGCAGGTACAAATTCTTCACATATCCGACAAATAACCAAGTTAGAATCATCTGCATAGTTCTCTTTCGCTTTATTTTGGGATTCTATCAGGAACATGTCATCAATTCTATCAGATTGCTCAGGATCTGAAAGATCACTAAATTCACTTTGAGATCTTTTTTGTTCAATAGACATACGATTCTTTCTGATTTCTATGTCCTGCTCCTCAGCAGGATCCTTCAACCTGCTCTCATTCTCCTGGAAAGGAACACCTGAATGGTCTTTTCCCTGAAACTGTTCCTTGGTATTAACTTGTTCTATAACAAAACCAGCATCAGTATCTGCAAAGCCCTTATTCACAACCCAATCCATGTCAACTGATGGGATTCTCTTTAAACATTGTCTGAATCTGTCCAGGGATTGCTCATTCACACGCCCACTATCCTTCTCAAAATGCAGCAATCTTGTACACCGAGTCAATATGAATAGCATGCGGGTAAATAGTATTTTCAACAATCCAGCTTCACATTTCTGTCTCTTCACAGTCAAGTCCTGGACAATCGTTTCACATTTTGTTCGGAAGTCTGAGGAAGACATGGAAATACATTGCTGGACAAGAAATAAAAGTTCCTCTGCCATCATACATTCATCTGATCTCAGAGAATCATCTTTCTGCAATGTGTCCAGTATCTCCTGTGAAAAACTACGAAGCTCTATGTCTACAACTTCTTTTGCAGCATCAAATCTGGAACGTAGTGAACCCAAAAGTTCCTAAATGTCATATTGTAAGAAAGTCAATATAACTGATTATCCAAACATATGAAAAAATAAAAATAAATAATATGATATCACATTGATTCTGGAGAAGAAAAAGGAAAAAGTAGAAGCTGATTTTGAGAAGATTATAAAAAGGAGATACTTGAAACACCAACCAAAAAAATTATAATTCAACAAGATGTTAATAACTCACAATATTCTAAAATCCCTTATAAAACTTAACTTAAGCACAATTAATCCCACTATATACCTTCAAATCATTAAAGCTGTGCGCCCTTGGATGTGCAGGTTGAATGCCACCTTTCGGACCCAATTCATGTGAAAAACTTTTTACATATTTCGACACCTTATAAGCAGGTTCAATTTTTGGTGGATCCCCAGTTATATTCTTCCACATCTTGAGAAATTTTTCTCGAGGATCCACTTTGTCGCAGCTGTTACACTCCAAAGCACTAGGCTGTTAAATTAATTGCAAGAGTAATATCAGCTACAACTGTAAAGAACAATAACATGGTAAGACTTGAAATTAAGATGCGCAAAAAAGATGCCTGACCTCGGTGCTTGGGTAATTACGTATATCTTGATCAGAAACCTCAAAAGAGGATGGCGTAAACCACCGTGCTATCTTCCTCCCTTTGCGGAATACTGAATCATAACAAATTTTAGTAAATTTGCGCCTTTTCTCCATAAGAAATGGAGACTACGTTAGAAGAATATCCTAATAGTTGAATGAAAAGATATGGGCACAAACATATATATGTGCACCATGTATGTGTGTGCGCGCATAACTGCATGTACATTGTGATGGGGTAGTGAATGACGTCAGGGTGAATATCTGCACCGATAGACCCTCTTGATATTATCTTCTCATTTAAAGGCAACCAAACGTCAGCAATTTCAGAAACTTATATTCTTGAATATTATCCCAACACTTCCGTGCATTTGAGATTAAAAAAAAAAAAAAAGAATGTCCCATGTGATGAAGTTTCTTTAAATGCAAATCCAGAAAGAAGGCATTTGCTTTCAAGCATATCTTGCTAGAAGGGTGAAAATGAGAAAATGTTCAGCAAGAAATTTGCTCTCTTACAACTGTATCATTCTTTCTTTTTTTTTTTTTTTTCTTTTTCTTTTTGGAGTGGTGCATGAGTCCAGAGTGACTGGAGAGCAGAAAAGATCTATTACATGAATGACAAAATGCATTTCTAGATCAATCAAACACTTGGCTCACTTACAGTAGAAAGGAAACCTTATCACCTTCACCCACCTTACCACAATTTTAACACATGACATCATTCCCGAAAGAAAAGAAAAAATAGAAAAGAAGAAAAATCCAGACTTTTAATTTGCTTAATCACTTCTTGAAAAGTTTACTTGTCAGTAGGTACCCCTGAACCATGTAATGATGCTTTTCCAATATATCTAGCGGCTTTTTAAAGTTCTTGAAACCCAAGAGGATAAATTTAACTGAAAATACTAACAAATTGCCAATATGAGAGCACCATCAGACAAAAATTTATTCCTATTAGCATATAATAATTCGTGGTTCTAGATTATTATTACCACGAGTCCTTCAACGATACAGAGATTAACTGCCAATAATTATTGCCTGATTCAATGAACCATCCAAGCTATGCAACACTCAGTAACTTTATTTCCTTATAAATTGTTGAGATGCCAAAAACAGCCAGATATTTCTGTACCTTTAACGCTTGGGAGCAAAAATCATAACGAAACATGCAAGCATAGAACCAAAAACAACAAAGCAGGTAATAAAAACCCATGCGAGAAAATCAAATTAAAAACATACACACACACACATGAACAAGATAAACAACATGAAACCTTCTTTCGCGCGACCCAATTTCACGTGTCCTTTCGTCGGAGCCTTGAGCTTCTGCTTCACGTGAGCTCCCGCGATCGAAAATTCGCCGCTGGGCGAGTCGTTACAGTGGTCGGAATCCTCAGCTCCTGAATTGGCGTCGACTCGCCGCGTCTTTATCCGGTTCAAACCGGTCGGAATCCCGATTTCCAATAAGGATGCCGAAGCGCCGCCGTTTCGACTCGGTTCCGCCATTCACGACCGAGCCAAAACTACGTGGTTTCTCAAGCTGCTTCCCCGATCAGCTTATCGTGTAATAACGACCGGAGAAACACGTTGACGGTTGAATTTGAGGAAGAAGACGACGGCGACGAACAGGAAAAAAGAAGGTCGTTTGAAATCGATTTGCAGTGCGCGAAAGAAATAAAAATAATTATGATTTTGTTTGTTTCACAATTTCTGTTTTTGGTGGAAAGTATGACGTGTTTGGTTAAAACTAAAAAAAAGTGATATTTCTAAGGATTTATTTCACACAATTCAATTTTAATTGGAACTTTTAGAGATATAGTAAAAGTTCAGGTATATTCAATTTAAATTTGTTCAGACTTTTAAAATTCTTAAAGTATTCAATTGAGATTTTAAAAAGTTCTACAAAATTTTAAGATATTTAACTTATTTGAGACTATAATTTGTTAAGATTTTTTAAAATTTTGTGGGATTTCTAAAGAAAAGACCTTATCTCAGAGAGGCGTTGTTCCGAATGGGGTTCCCAGAGCGATAGGCCAGCTTTGTGGAGGCGTGTGTGGAGCACTGCACGTTCTCGGTTCTGGTTAATGGCAGCCCCACCAACTTCTTCTCTTCGTCTCTGGGCCTCCAACAGGGCGATCCCCTCTCCCCCTCATTTTTTTGTTGTGGTGGTGGACTACCTTTCTCGTTGCCTTGACGTCTTCATCTATGATAATCCTAGGATTACCTACAACAAATGTGGCTATGGTCCTTCCATCTTACACCTCTCTTATGCGGATGACATTAATATCTTCACTCGAGCGAATAATGATGGATTGGTCGAGCTTATGCGCCATCTGAATCACTATGGCACGGTCAATGGTTAGCTCGTCAGCGTGCAAAAGAGCACCTTCATCCTCTCCCATCCTATTGCAGATTGGTAAGCGCAAAGGGTCCACGAGCGCACTAGTTTCGCGCGCGATGACCTCCCCATCACCTACCTCGGTGCCTCTCTGTATAAGGGCCATCTTAAGAATGCACTCTTTGGAGATGTCATGTAGAGGATGATTGACCGGATCTTCAGCTGGTCGCACAGACATCTTCCTTCTGGGGATCGGCTTTGTCACAGAGGGACTAGGCTTCATTAACTTAACATGTCATCTAATTCATTATCAGAGAATTTCCCTGGCTGGTATGAACCAAGAGAATCCAAGAAATGGCATTAAGGGTATTCACCGCCCACGTCAACCAAGGTGTCTTTTTGCCCTAGATCAATTCACTTTTAGACTGTTTCTGAGTTTGTTGAGGATGACGAGCTAGTCAGTATCGCCAACAGGCTCAGTTCCATCCCCCGGTAGGGGGAGATCGCGTTAAAGGTGCATCAGAAAGATAGGCCAGATGCTATGTAGGGCCAGATTCCATCCCATCGGTTGATCGCGTTGATCAAGAGCACCCTCAGCGCACTTTCACTTCATCTTCTTATGGTCCTCGATCTCTCTCAATCCACTATCCACGAGTTAGATCAGATCATGACTCGTTATTTTTGGGGCATGGGGAAGGCTCTCTGAGGAAGAGATAGGTCCACTAGGTGAAGTGGGATTCTTTTTGTCGGCCTTTTTCTGAGAGAGGCCTTGGGATTCGCCGCTTATCGGATGTAGTCACCTCATTCTCTTATAAGATGTGGTGGCGCTTCATGGAGGGAAAGTCGCTTTTGGCTCAGTACCTTTGTGAGAAGTACTTCCCTTGACTTGTATGTCATCCCTGTAGGGTGACGTCCACCGCTCATGATAGTAGCTAGACAGTGGAGGCAGCTCACCAAGATAGGTAGGCACGCCCAGGAGCACATCTTCTGGACGCTGGGTGAAGGGGATGTTAGCGAGTGGTAGTTTGGTGAGGGGCCTTTTTCGAGCTCTAGGCAGGTCACTCACTCTTCTCTGCGGGTAAAGGACCTGTGGTCTAAGGGCGCTTGAGAGATGGATAAATTAGAGAGGATGTTGGTACTGGTGAGGGTTTTAGTGACCATGTTTTAGATCAGATCAAACAGATTTCTATCTCGGAGGATGGTCCGGATGGTATGAGGTGAAGACTTACATCTTCATGTGCATTTTCTACGACATCGGTTTGGAAGGAAGTCCGGTTGGGTGACCGGCCTAACCTTCTCTTCCGGACTATTTGGACCAATTTTCTTACCCCAACCATCTATGTCTTCCTTCGGCGCCTCCTTATGTGCCAAATTTCGATCGACACTGTAATGCAAGCGAGAGGGTTTTTTTTCCATTCACGATATTATTGTTGTTAGGTTCGATATACTGTACGGAACAGAGTTTGCAGCGGAATTTAAAATTTTATAAGTATTTATCTCATAAATACTTATTCCGTACATAAGTATAACGAGATAACAAATAAGCATCATTTAAAATCTAGTAACTTTTACTAATTTTGATTTGATATGTAATTTATAAAATTACCTTTGTTCTTGAACTCCTTCAAAAAACGACGATGGATGAGGAAATCAATTCCCGGTTTGGTAACGTCCACTTGTCGATGTTACTCGCTTTAGGAATTCAAATGTCTTCCCTCTAAGAGTATCCACCTTTTGAACTCCGGTTCCGACTATAGTTTCTTCGCTAGTAGAAACTACTCGGTTTTTCAATAAGTATAGAATATATATATAATTATAAGGAAATTTTACAAGAACTCTTTCTTGCTTTATCACTCAACTATTTGGATGATTTTTCTCTTTGGAAGAACTTAGAAAAACTTAGCAATTTATGTGCAAACATTTTGCACCTATTTATACTAAATATTTTAGCATAAAATAATCAATATTTGATAATTATTTATTTTTAAATAAAATCGGATTTTATTTAAATTATCATACCAAATATTGACTTTTAATTAATAATGTGGAGTGGTTTATAACCACCATCAACCACCATTATTTTGTCTCTCAATTATTTTAATCTTTAATCATATTAAAGATAAAACAATAAAATAATAATTCTTGAAAACATTTTTCAAGACTTTATTATTTTAATCTTTTCTTCCAATTTCCTTATTTAATAATCATATTATTATTTGGATTTGAAATTTAAAATCCAATTTTAAATTCCAACTATTAATTAGTAATTCCATTAATTACTAAATTAATATCCAAAATTCAATTAATCAATCTAATTGATTAATTTAATATATTCCTTTAATTGACATCTAATCAAATTAGATTTGTCAATTAATTCTAACTCTTTAGAATTACTATTTGAATTTTACCTTCATTCAAAATTTGGTGTGACCTTTTAAGTTCACAATTAATACTAGTAGTGGGTTTACAACTCTTTGTAATTTGAGTTATTCATATTAACTCTTATTCTTGAATTAACTCTTTAATTCAAGAACCCACATATCATGGGAACATCTAGCAAGTAGCATGAATCTAGTATTAAGTGAATAGCGAGTAAACCTATTTCGATTACAAGTTCATATATGTAAAATCCTTTCGACATCTAATTTCCCTATTAAATCTTTGAGTATGATTTTGTCGAAACCCAAATTGATTTAATAACTATGATTCCATTTCAAGTTTAGTAATTCGTTTATGAATCTCTATTCATCCCGCCTTGGCCAAGGACTTTGAATTACTAACTATGAAACACATAGGAAATTCACTTATCTTCATAAGTGTCGAATCCTTTGTTGGCTACTGACAAACTTCCATACATATTAATATAATACCCAAAATATCCCTTTATACGATTGTGCTAGCAATCAAAAGGATAAATCAAAGTAAAATATAATATGCACAAAGTTACCATCGTGCCTCAAGTCTAAGGATTAATCATGTACTATTGTAACATGAAAATTCTTATTCGACATGATAAACTTTCATTAAGAATTTTCATACGGTCATGTTCAGTGAACTTGTTCTCTAACAAGCACCTACATATATGTATTTGCGTCTCACGATAATGTTGATGGAATGCAACATTCTTATCTAATAAGCATACACACTATGTGCAAGTCTTTTCCGGATTTATTCGATATCCCATCTCGAAACATCCAACGACTTGGAACTGTATTTATGATCACAACTTTCAAGATATGTTCCATGATCACCATCTCTATGCGCAACCATATCTTATAGCTATAAGTGATCTAGGGACTTTATCTTAAGTGCAAATATATGATAAATGCTTACTCTTAAAATAAAGTAATGCCTTATTATTTAATATAATTCCAATAGATTGTATTTACAAGTAGAATACGTCCAATCTGATTGGAACGCCGGGTATACTACTCCAACAATTGTTGTGTCGAGATCGGACATTTTCATACTGAGACTTTTGCTCATTTATTTTTAGCAAGGTTTTAAAAATCGGACTGGTTCAAATCCTCAACTTCAATAAAGAAGAAAAACCAAAACTTTTGTCATTAATAAAAACTCTAATCCCTAAAGATGATAATGATGTCAATCCCACCCTCAAATGTGATTGTTCTTTGTCATAGTTTTTTCGAAAATACACTTTTTGATAGGAACGCAATTCAATCGACATGAGGAGGACCCAAAACGTTGACTTTCGAAAAACATGGGATGCAACATGGAGAATATATAAAAAATAAAAAAATAAAAATATGAATAAAGTATAAAAATGTAAAACATTTAATCTATACTAACTTAATTTAAAGTAACAAATTGTTCATTTATTATAAAATATACTAAGAATTCTTTTATTACATTTCTAGGTCAATTTTGAAAATTTATAATTATTTACAATAACTTTAGCCTCTTAATTGTAAATTGTTTTAGTAGTTTCCAAACTAAGTATTTAGTTTGTTTTTATTTTTTTGGAATGTTGATTTTTCACTTTATATTTGTTTGGTGAGTCTTGGGTTGAAGGAGTGAGTCGTTTTTTCAAAATTGACCACCAGAAGCAGCTTCATACACTTCTAAACACAATTTGATATGAGCACAACCCTCTTTCGTTGCTTTAAAGAACACAAGGCTATTGATAGGGATATTAGTACTGACTCGA